TTCACGTTTACAGTGCAGGAAGGTATTGATGCTATCTATGATGTTATTCATCACCTTGAAACCTATGATGTTACCACTGTTAGAGCTAGCACTCCAATGTACCTTTTATCACGAAAGATTAAGGCTATGGGAGTAAAGATGGTACTTAGTGGTGAGGGATCAGATGAAATATTTGGAGGTTCATTATATTAATCATAGGTTATTTGTATTTCCACAACGCTCCATCTGCCCAATCGCTACATCACGAATGTATTTCCAGGATTCAAAATCTGCATACCTCTGATAACTTGCGTGCAAACAAATCTACAATGGCTTGGGGTTTGGAAGCTCGTGTACCTTTCCTTGATCGCCAATTCTTGGATGTGGCAATGGAAAAAGTACCAGCTAACCACAAGTTAACTGGAAGTGGCCCGTATAAACATACTATGGAAAAGTATGTACTTCGCAAAGCCTTTGACACTCCTGAATCTCCATACTTGCCACATGAAGTGCTATGGAGACAAAAGGAACAATTTTCTGACGGCGTCGGCTACTCTTGGATTGATTCCGTAAAGGAATGGTCTGAAAAGAACATTACTGATGCTCAAATGGCCGGTGCTGCCCAACGCTTCCCACACGACACTCCAACGACAAAGGAAGCCTACTGGTTCAGAGATATCTTTGAACAGCACTTTCCTCAGAAGGCATGCTTGGAAAGTGTTGTACGCTGGATTCCAAGAAAGGACTGGGGTTGCCCAGAAGACCCATCTGGAAGAGCTCAAAAAGGACACATTGCAAAGTATGAATAATATAAAACGTTATCATATAATTTTATAATTAAGTATACTTTGGAATAGGGGTTTTGTAGCTAGTAGGTGCTTGTCCGTTATTGTGCAATCCACTAGCATTTGCCAACTCTGCAAATCCTTTTTGTTGTTTCTGCACCGCTCCCAATTTGACAGCCTTTTCTGCAAGCAAGCGTTCTAAGATTAACTAATAATGTACCTGACTCTGTTCCGTGTCTTTCACCTTTCCCGTCTTTCTTTAGCGCATACTGAACAACAATGCTCCTGTTCATCAAGAACTGTCCGTTCATGGCTTCAATAGCAGCATCAGACGATGCAAAATTATCATAGAATATAAATGCGAACCCTTTTCCATCTTTAGTTCCTTGCACATCTCTAGAAATTTTAGGTGTTTGTGTGAGTACTCCAAAAGCACCAAAGGTATCAAACAACAACTTTTCGTCCACCATCGGATCCAAATTCCCAACAAATAACGTGGCTCCAACTTCAACTACCTGGTTATCCTTTTCATTCGTAGCTTTGTTTACTCTAATTGGTTTCCCAAACAATTTAACCATATTTAATATTTTAATTGCGTAATCTGCATCTTCCTCCGACATGAACTCTACAAATCCGTATCCTTGGTGGGCTTGGGATACTCTGTCTTTTGGCAAATGAACATTTACAACTGGACCAGCTTGAATAAACACTTCCCATAGCAGTGGCTCTGTAGCTCTTTCATCCACGTTTGCGATATACACTGTTGCTTCTTGGTTACGATCGTCGCCAAGAGGTAAGGCTGCTGGTTGTTGCATCATTTTGCAAGATCAGAAAAAATTTCCAGAGTTTAATGGACTTTATTAAAATTCAAACTCGTTTCTGAATGCGTCCAGGTTGTGTGTATCACAAGCTTGAGCCAAATCATCTCGTTTAACTAGAGTTAATGCAATATTACTGTAGGTATTGAGAAGCATTCTTAATGCAGTCCACACACACTCACTCTGGCCAATATGCATTTGAATCATTTCATCCTTATTGAATTGTGTCTTTTCATTTACAGCCTTCATGCTTGCTTCTTGAGTTGCTAAAGCCCCCAGCAAATAACCAGCTGCTTCCCTGTATTGCCCAAATTGTATACATGCAATAGCAAGGTTATACCTGGCCCTAATGTATGACGGGTTGATATTTAGTGCTTGAAAGTATGCATCTAGTGCTTTTTCTGCTTCTCCAGAATTCGCAAGTGTAGCACCAAGCTTATTCCATAGTTCATAGTTATCTGGTGACTTTGAAAGGGCAGATTGGAAACAGTCAATAGCTTTTTTGTATTCCATCCCTATATTGAACAAAACACCAAGAGCAGTTTGGACATCTGGATCCAAATTATCTCCTGGTCTAGACATTGCAGCTTGAATGAAACGTTCAATGAGATTTTCATATCTTTCCATGCTAGACAGTGTACCTTGCTTTGAGGGAATACGATTATACTCTGGGTGTCTTCCTAGCCATTGATTCAAACACTCGTAGGCTTCATTGTTAAAGTTCTCGTTTGTGTGAGACACAGCTAACGGAATGTAGCTATCAAGGTTTTGAGGATCAATATCGATGGATTTTCGGAAAGCTGAAATAGCAGCAAATTCATTTTCATTTTCTTGTTGCTTTTTACCTAATTGATGCCAAGCAGTTGCATTTTGCGGATCTTTCTGAACCATGGCTTCCAAAGCTAAAATAGATTCTGTGAGATTGTGGTTTGAAACTGAGCGTTGCAATTCAGCTTCAGAGAACTTAAGATAAGGATTTTTCGGAGAAAATTGGTACTGGCTGCTTCTAGGATCCGTAATTACATGAGATGACTGCATTTCTCTCCACGAAGCTTCCATTTGGTCCATTTGATCCTTCAAGGCCCGAGTTTTTTCATCAATGCTCATTGAATTCAAGTTATTTGCCAAATCCTGTTGATATAACTCTTTTTCTCGTTCATCATTAGCATCAATGAATTGCTGCGGCCAATCCATATCATGAGATACATCACTCGAGTACTGTGGTTGCCAAGTTCCAGTTTCTTCTTTACTCTTGGTTTCGATAAACTCTTTTTGCCAATTTCTTGGAGGTGCATTTTCAGCTTCTTGAACAGCTTTAAACTCTGATTCCCATTGGATATCAGTCTCTTTGGAAGAGATTGTGTTTTTTGGCAATTGTTGCATTGAAGGCTGGAATCCCATGTTCAATGGCTCATGGAAATTCATTCCAGGATTCATCATTGGCTCCATCATATCCTGTGGTTGATATTCCATCTTGCTCTGTTCGGTATTTCTAAAGTATTCATTCCATGAGTTTGCTTGCTCAATATCATGGATATTGCTGATATTAAAATCCTCTTCCCAACTAGTAGTACTGATCTTTGCTCCAGTAAATTCCATGGCTGTCTCATGTGAAGAAGCAGGTGTAATTTGCTCCACCATCTTGTCACCTTCAACTGCTACTTCTCCATCACGAAGCTTTTCCATCATCTCTAGGAATTTGCTATTCTTGAATTTTGGATTTTCTGAGCTTCCTACAAGTTGAGCTACGATAGCAGCAGTCTTTGCCAATGCATCTTTTGGGTTCCCTTCTTCAACCTTGAATTCTTCAGCCCAGTCTTCATTCTTCTGAAATTCGTTTGCCCAATCCTGATTTTCCTTGAATTCTGTAGCCCATTCACTCTGTTTGCTAAACTCTTGTTCCCATGTCTTTTCATGAAATGCTTTTTCAAATCCATTATCATTTGGTCGACTATAAATCTGTTCAAATTGATGAAATTCCTGTTGATACACTTGTTCAAAATGGTGTTGCTCTACAGCTGGGTGAAATTCATTTGCCCAATTATTTGCAGGAGGATGAAATTGTTTAAATTCTCCAGCCCAGTCATCCTGAGGTGTCATCATTTGCGGTCCATTTACTAGTGGACCATTGATCATTGGGTTATTCATTCCCATCGGATTTAATTGAGGGACAAGGCCATTCATTTCCTGTGGAATTTCCATTCTTCCTTTCTGCTTGATGTTAGTGACTATACGATCATTCTGCAGTGAAATATCTTTTTCGAAATGCTTTTGTATTTGATTTATTGCTGAAGACGAGCAGTCCATTTTTTGCGGAGATTTTCAAAGATTTTCATGTGGGTGTTTTACCCCTTGATTTCGTCCGAATCGGAAAGTCTTTAAATACTAGAAATAAGGTTTTAAAGTTTCCATTTAATTTAACAATTAATACTCCCAACTATTCAAATTGAAATTGAATGAATTTTGAAAATCTTTAGTTGATAATATAATCTAATTAATCGCAGTGATATACAACTGACAAGTTATCAAACATATTCTAATTTCGAATTTTGTTTTCTCAAAAAGATGCAATCTCAAAAGGAAGGTAAAATAGCGGAAGCCTCGTTCGACTATCTGCTGATGGAAATTTCGAAAAGCAACTACGAGCCACTAGATCAAATGGGATTCAGAATCGGCTATTCTATTGTAGAGAAGATGACCAAAGACAAACCACGAATGGTGGATATACTCGACAAGGTTAAATTCATTTGCAAGGATTTCTGGATGGGAGTATTCCAAAAGCAAGTGGATAACTTGAAAGCGAATCACAGCAGAGGAATATACGTATTGACTGACAACAGTTTTAGAATTATTTCAAAATTGAGTAGTGATAGTATTAGTGGTGAACAAGCAACATTATTTTATTCCCAGTACCTAGCCCTACCATGCGGAATCATTAGGGGTGCGTTGTATAACCTTGGATTGCCTTGCTCAGTAATGGCTGAAGTGACTTCCTGCCCATCATGTAATTATTATTAATCTAGGTACATTTCAATTAAAAATAAAATCTTGATGCAGATTTCACTCTTTTAAATTTGTTTCAGGTGTACTTTAACTGCATCTACGAGCGCGATTGCTTCAACTTGAACTGAACTGTCATAATGCCACGTTCAGAATTTTGCTATTTGGAATGGAGCAAGCTTCATTTTCAGAAGTCAATCATCATTTAGATCACTTGTTCATATCTAGTTGGTTTAAACTTGCAGATTTTCAGTCCATTTCCTCATAAAGTCAAACAATTTGAAGGCTTGAGATACTAAAAAACGCCATCTATATTTTAAATTGAATTTATTTCTATCTGGGATTCTATGCCTCATAGTTCATGCTGCGCCACTCTGTCATAAAATATTGTTATAACAATAACAGACAAAAAGATAGATAGCTTCGAAAGGTTTCGATCCTTTGACTTTCGGGTTATGAGCCCGACGAACTTCCGCTGTTCCACGAAGCTGTGATATACTGTGTTATTGGCTTCTTTTATTGAGTCACTTTGTGAGTCACTTTTGGGTGTTCAATAAGGTGTCTGAGCAAAGAAATAGTAAAACTAAATTAGCTTTTGCAGACTTCCAAATGGGTAAGATAAATATATTAGATTAACAGCTTAGTTGGTTAGCAGATTAGCTGGTTAACAGATTAGCTGGTTAGCAGATTAGTTGGTTGGCTGCGGTGAGGAACGCCATGCCAGACATGCAGTCGTCGTCTGGCGTGGTGGAGTTGAAGCGAGTGCACTGCGGAACGTTGGCTCCCATCTGTGGGTTGTTGTTGTTTGCGACAAGCTTGTCGTTGTTGATGTTTGCAGTTGATTTCTGGATGTCAAAGGCAATGCTGACTTGCGCTGGGAGGTTAAAGTTTGAGTATAGAGTGCAAGTGCGGTGGGCTGGATCAGTGGTGAACTTCCAGACCCAAGACACGCAGGTAGCTGGCGATTGAGCGCACCGTTCGAAGCAGTCTTGGGCAGACCTGATTCCGTCGCGGAAGGCGAGATCCACTTCGGTAGTAACGCCAGTGATGTCGAAGCCTTTGACGTACCTGGTGCATCCATGCGGAGCAAGAGGCGACTTGAACAAGACTGGAATGTCGTCGCCATCGCGCTTGGCAACTGGGCCGGCAGATACGAGTGAGGCGACTAAGAGAGCAGCAGAGACGGGTTGCATTTTGATGTCGCTTGGTCTTTCCTGTGCTTTTTATACACATTTGCTACTTTGATGGCGGAGTCAGCCACGAGACTGAGGATTTGGAGACAGCAGAGCTGCCTGCGTCATTATAGACACGCTATCAGCCAGCGTAGAGAGTGTGTAGTATGCAATTCTGTCTGCAGTTACTCGGTATCTCATTCTCTATCGCAAGTGTGTTGTAATATCACCGCAAGGACACGCTTGCATGGCTGGCAATGCAGCCACTATACTCTCATCTTCAAATACCAGACCACACTACCTCTCTTACGTCATGGCAGTACGGATGTGTGCAGATGCTTATCTGGGCAGTGGAAGTTTCTTCAAAACTGTGGCGGTGATGAGGTAATGGTTGGCAGTTGCTATAAAAAGGACAGGAAAGACGAAGCGACATCAAAATGCAACCCGTCTCTGCTGCTCTCTTAGTCGCCTCACTCGTATCTGCCGGCCCAGTTGCCAAGCGCGATGGCGACGACATTCCAGTCTTGTTCAAGTCGCCTCTTGCTCCGCATGGATGCACCAGGTACGTCAAAGGCTTCGACATCACTGGCGTTACTACCGAAGTGGATCTCGCCTTCCGCGACGGAATCAGGTCTGCCCAAGACTGCTTCGAACGGTGCGCTCAATCGCCAGCTACCTGCGTGTCTTGGGTCTGGAAGTTCACCACTGATCCAGCCCACCGCACTTGCACTCTATACTCAAACTTTAACCTCCCAGCGCAAGTCAGCATTGCCTTTGACGTCCAGAAATCAACTGCAAACATCAACAACGACAAGCTTGTCGCAAACAACAACAACCCACAGATGGGAGCCAACGTTCCGCAGTGCACTCGCTTCAACTCCACCACGCCAGACGACGACTGCATGTCTGGCATGGCGTTCCTCACCACAGCCAACCAACTAATCTGCTAACTTAATAAACAATTTCTCTACGATAAGAAGGAATTCAATAGCGATAATTTTAGAAAAAGTGCCAAAAAAACTGCCCCATATGGGGTATCCTCTCAAGTATTGCGTGTCATCCTTGCACAGGGAGCCATGCTAATCTTCTCTGTAATGTTCCATTAAAGTATGAGCTTTTACACTCGAAAGGAAAATCAAAATTTTTGATTGATATAGTACAATTTTTTTTCCAGCTTTTTGTCAGCTACTTCAAGCCACACGAAAATTAGCATGATAGATGGATCAACTTAATCTTCAATGCAATAATTTTGGAAAGAATAAGGAATATAACAGAAAAATTTTTATTCTTCTCTTCGGCTAAATTGAATATAGGATTCTCCTTCAGGGACTACAATCAATGAAGTGTAATCTGCCTTTGGGAATTTCAGTTGGTTCTCGTTGTCCTTTACTAGTTGGAGGCTAAACTGTCTTAAAAAGATGGCAATAATGGTTTTGATCTGGACGTAGGCAAAAGCTTCACCAATACAACGATGTCTTCCAGCACCAAATGGTAAAAAGTGTGATCTTGCTGATTTCTGTGCAATATTAACACCATTGATAGTCCTAAAATTAAGTGATGTTACCATTCTCCATTTCCTTCAGTGTCATTCAAAAATCTGCTAGGTTCAAACTTTTCTGGATCTGGGAAACGTACAGGGTCAAATTGAGAAACTGCTTGAGACCCACACAAAAAGTGTCCTTTTGGAATCTCGAACCCTTGGTAAGTTACATTCTTTTCAACTTTTCGCATAACAGTGTGAATTGGTGTATGAAGTCTAAGAGTTTCTTTCATTACACAATCCAAAAACTCCATCTTTCGCAATTGCTCATAATCAAATTGAGGCAAATCCTTTGCTGGAGTGTCTGGTTTACCGGTCAAAATCATTGATTGTTCTTTCATGATTTCTTCAATAACATCGGGTCTGCGAGCTAATTCAAACAAGATCCATGAGGTAGTAGTGGAAGAAGTGTGTTGTCCGCCCATCAAGGTAGCAATCATTAAATGCGCAATAGCATCGTCAGACATCTACACATGAGTTTATATTACCTTGGTTCCGTTTTTGTATTCAGATTTCATTAATGTGCTCAATACATCAGTGTATTCGATATTGTTTTTTCTACGTTCAGCAATAATCTTTTTGAAAGTCTCTGTCATCAAGTTGTGAGCGCGATCTCTTGCGAAATAAGTTGGTAATGGAAGCCATCTAAAGAAAACATTGATTGGAGCTAATCCTCGGTCCAAGTCATGATAGAGTTGAGCAACGTTAGAGTGAAGTTGAGATCTGATTTCTTTTCCCATTAAACATGCAGCAGCAGTACGGATAGTCAATTCAGACATTTCTTTAAAGATCAGAGCAGTTCCTTTCTTTGGGAAAGTGTTGAAGAATTCTACACTTTCTTCCCAAATCAATGGTACATACTTTTTAAATGCATCACTGGTGAAGGTATCCTTTACGAATCTGCGTTAACTAAAAAGTACTTTTTCTGTTCCATAAATACTGAATTATGAACATCGTAAACAACTTCAGTTCCAAATACAGGAACAGTTAGCGTTCTATATGCACCCTCAGCAGAGGCGTTGGCAATTGGGACGTTAAAAACAAAGTGGTTTCCATCTGGGCCAAGGCAAAATGTCATCTTTCTCCCCATCATCATAAAAGTAAAGCAATCTCCATACTACATTAGTTTCAAGTACTTTGGCACGGCAATCTTGCAAGAACTTGATAGGGTCGATACCATAAGGGATCGCACTTCCTAATAATGGGATTGTATATGGCACCATTGGCGGTTCATTTGCAGAGGTAGCTTTGGTCTTGAATTAGTGATTGTTACCTTGAACAATAATGTTGACGCGCCGATTACGGCAATTGCCAATAATATTAAAGTGGTGTGGTCAGCGGTTTGTAAAAACTCTGAAATAGTGTTGTACAGATCTACAGCTACACCCATTGGTTGGTTTTTTGAAACAAAACTTTCGTTTTATGCTCTCTTAATCCCAGCCACACATGTCAGTGGTAATTTAATATTCATTAAATATTGATTCAAGATTTATGGAAATTAGTAATAGCTGAGTAGAGCTACAATGTCAAGATTAATTATCTCTATCCCATATCAGTGTGAAATCGGGTATGTTGGTGAGATTTCAGATTTTCAGTCCTGAACGCTGTTTATCTATAATCGGATCATGATAAATGGAATCGCAGAAAGGAAGTAGGAAAATATCTGGAAATCTTATCTTTATGCACTGATGCGATCAAGTATCTTTTGGTCAAACACCACTTGCATCAGATCAACTACCCGGTTATACCTGGGATATGAAGATTGCTAATTGCAGCGACATGGTGCTTATAACCAGCGTAAAACAGTATCTTTTTTACTGCGAACGGTGTTGAAAGGGAATCTACCAAATCAAATTCAATCCTTTATTTATATTGGACCTTGATTTGTTGCTGTTTCCTTTGATCTGTTGAAGATTATTTCCAACGATTAAAACTACAATTTATTGAGAATCACAATTAATCCAACCCTATCCTTTCCCGGACAGTATGCTGTCTATCTTTCTCTTTCTTTATTATCTGATTCAAATCTGTTTCTTGGATGGTAATCACTGTCGGTTTACGAGGCATCATTTTGCTTGAGCGGCTTCACGAAAAAAGGGCAAAAAATTAGTCGCATACCAACCGACATACCGCTAGATGATATGCAACCATTGCATGGTAATCTCAGCACGAAACTCACTCCATTTATAGAGATTTCGCGAGTGGTTTTTGTTTCAAAACCCTTGTGGCTTGGCTAAAAACAGGTGAAGCGACTTGAGGTTGTTTTTTAAAAAATGTCCAACAACGATCCCCAGAACCCCCACAATAATCAAAAACCGATACTTCCACCAATTAATTCTGTTCAACCACCAAATCTAGGGCAGAATAATTTGTATGTGGAAACCCAACAGCAGCAATATCATTACCCGTAAGTATATTTTTTAAGATCCAGTTCACAGCGACAGCAGAGTCCAGCACCAAATTCTGGATCTTCTAATCCTGCCCACAATCCGCCCCCACCTGCATATCCTCATGACTCTAACTCTCATTACCATGATAGTCATTCATCGACTTTTCACGATACCAACCACCCACCATCCTATAATCATGATAGTGCAGCTATTGAAACAACTGGTCCGCCACAAGCTCGGCCTCTAAATGTCAGAGACGCTCTCAGCTATCTGGACCAAGTAAAGTGGCAGTTTGGAAACCAACCTGAAGTGTACAACAGGTTTCTGGATATTATGAAAGATTTCAAATCTCAAGAGTATTTTTTTTTTAATTCTAGAATTGATACTC